CGTATAGAAAAAAGTCTGTTTTGTTCTGGCTTAGCTGGCTCTTCCGGAGGTGGAGGTATGATTCACTAATGTAAGCAAATGGATGGTTTCAGCCACCTGCTTCTCCTGTCATTGCCAGTCCTCGGAATGACCAGGCTCAGGCTTGGAGCAGCCAAGCGAGGACGAGCACTCTTAGTTCAGTATGGCAGGAAACAGGTTTGCATCTGGGAACTTACGAAGTTCGTGTTGTCATTTACCTCAGATTCCTTTACGCTGTGAATTCGTGGACCTCAACACAAGTTGGGCATACCCAGAATACAGTCTGCTTCACAGGTCTCCAGGAGGAGTGATCACCCCTGAGTTGGTCCACAAAGGTCTTTTGTTCTCTTTAGTTAAATAATTAATTCACTTGAGGAAATTATTTGATTGTCTTTTGCTTCATATCTCCAGTTATTTGTAAACATTATTTGACTTTTCTTAAAACTTTAGGCATTTTCCATTTAATAGCTTTTTAAAACTTCGGTTTTTAAAGTTTTGGGCAATTCAATCCCACGTATATGATACCTGAGCTTGGTCATTTCCTTGGCTTTATTTACGATTTGTGGTAAGATATGTATTTTAGAAACCATATTTTACATATTTTAGTGCATACATACTTTAGAAGTTTTTTGCAGATAAAAGAGTTCATTTGCAGCATGGTTGCTAGATTTTGCATTTGTTGAAGATGAATAGTGTTAATTTATGCACTATTTGGCATATATTTGCATAATGAGTTCAAGTAGTCCTAACTTCAAGTATAAAAGACAAAATTAATTATTATGACCCATTGGCATTTTTATTTCACACATAAAATCCAGAGCAAGCATGTGTGAAATATATAATAGATTTTTTACCAATTAATTTAATCACATTCTGGATTATGAGGCATTTAAACAAACGGAAACAGGGAAAGGTGCTTAGTGGAGGCCAGGGCGAAGCCTGAGAGGGAGCCAGGGCAGGGCTGATGTTTCGGCTAGGATGAGGTAATTGGTAGTATAATCTTCTTAGGGCTAAGGATCACCAGTTAACACTACAATTTCTTTCTATTTCTGTACCTAAATTGTCAAAGCTTTATCATTGTTTTAGTCTGCTAGTGTTGCTATAACAAAATACCATAGCTTGGGTGGCTTCAACAGCAAAAATTTATTTTCTCACAGTTCTGGAGGCTGGAAGTGCATGATCAAGATACTGGCTGATTTCGTTTCTGGTGACAGCTCTCTTCCCAGCTTGGAGACGGCTGGCTTCATGTTGTGTCCTCACATGGTGGAAGGAAGGAGAGAGAGAAAGAGCTCCCTTTGCGGTGTCTCTTCTTATAAGGGCACTGATCCCCCCGTGAGGGCCCCACCCTCATGACCTCATCTAACCTTGATTACCTTCTGGAGGCCACATCTGCAAACACCATCACTTTGGGGGATAGAGATTCAACGTGTGAATTTTGGGGACACACAAGCATTCAGTCTGTGACAGTCAAGTAGCCCAAATTCCAAACATGGTAAAACTCAAGTGCTCCTTAGAGGATTAACCCTTCCTTTAATCAATTATTAGTCATGTATACTCAAGTACCAAGAAGATCTGAGAGTATGTTTTGATATAAATAGGGACAGAGAAGTAAAGAAGAAAGCTAGGATAAGAAAGGTAGGATACAGAGTATGGGAAATGAATTTTTCTTCAATTAGCCAACAAATACAAATTCAAGGAAGAGCTGAAAGGAATCTGGATCACTGTCTGACTTCAGTTTGCCTGAGAGTGCGCATGAGCCCATTCTAACAGGTGTAGTAGGCACGGTAATGATTGGATTTGGGGAAGCATTTGGCAGGGTGTTAGGGTGAGTCCTAGCTATCAAATGGAAATATTGTTAGAGAGAATAGACTTCTTTGAGCTTTTCTGCTTCACTATGACCTAACTCTTGCTCTCAAGAACAGGTCGAGGCAGGCCACATCTGGAGGTGATATAGTGTTGTCATGTAATCATAAGAAATAGGTTCAGACTCACCTGGGCATTCTATCCTCTTGTTGTAAAACCACTCTTGGAGGATTATGAGAATCTAACATATCTCTCTGTTGAGTCGCAGTGTTCCAGTGTGGATTGTCTGGTAGCCCAATATGTCTGTCATCTAGGATGTTCCAGCCACATCCCCTTGGAGATTTCCTTTGCTTCCATTTGTTACATCCCACACACTCCTCGTTCTTGTTGCAAACTCAACCTTTGTTGGGGCAAGTACCACAGTAGATTCTTGATAGAGGGTGTGTTCTTTACTCAATCCTTGGACGTATTAGATCATTTGGATTATGAGTAAAAGGCTTAGAATTCTCAAGGCATCGTTTCATCGCCTCCCTGACTATAGAGTTGCCTTTGAGAAGTTTAAAACTATCTAATCTCTGATCTTTTGTGTGTCATCTAGTCTTTCCTCTCTGGAAACTTGTAAACTCTTCTCTTTGTCTCTAATATTCTTAAATTTCAAAATAAAATGTCTTCCTAATGT